TTTCATACTTTGATTTGCTATGTCAAATATTAAGTGTTTTTCCTTCATCTCTTCACTTAGTTTAAAAAAATTTTCATACTATTATCATTAACTTTCTTTAAACCCAAGTTACTTTTTTTGCAAATGCAGATGTAAACTGTAAAATAAAATATTCTAACTAGACTTTTCTTTTCTGGAATGATCGATGTAAAAACACTACTCTTACTAGAGAAATGGCAGATTTAATCCATCAAAGTTTTTTTATCATTTGTGTACACTGGGATTTGTTTTTGACTTAGAGACCTCTGTCTAGTGCTGTGTAGACTTTAATATGTAATTAAGATGTTTATTTGCTATTCCAATTGTAATCTTTGCTTTTGCTCACTAAAATTTTGCGAACATGACAGAAACCAACTCTATCAAGAGTTTGAAAATCTATTGGAATTAGCAAACAGAACTAAATAAGTGCTACAGTTGGTGTTTATTGTTTTAAATAAGTGCTTTGTTTACAATGTTGCTTTAACTAGACCCAGGGGCGGATCTACATAGGGACTAATAGGGCTTAATTAAGCCCTGGGCCCTCAAGTATCAAGGGGCCACAAAAATTGAATTATTATCATAAATTTTTAATACTTTTTCATTAACAATGAGCACTTATTGTGTAGTAAAAAATAGTTACTATAAATTATCATTATTATTATTATTATATTATTAATATTACTACTTGTTTTATTGTAAATGGGGACCCATTGAACTTCAATAAGCCTGTCAGGGCAGCTAAAAAACCTAGATCTGCCCTGACTAGACCTCTGCTACTTCTGAATCCAATTGACTAAAGTATACTCAATGAGCAATTATTTATTGTGACATCGTCACAATGTCAGGCTGCAATTTGTAATCATATTTTTAATTTATTTAATTTAAAACATGCTCTCCACCTCAAATTAGTAGTGGCTTGCCCCTGGACATCATACTTTTCCTTTAACAACAGAATTGTGCCATTCATCTATCTAACATCTTTCATGGGAAATTTTGAATTGAAATAACAAGACTTCCAGTTTGCATTGGAAGTTCATATATAGTTAATCAGGGACTTCTGCCCCTATGGTTTCCACATCTGGTCTCATTTTTCATCTATCTTACTCCATTCTTGAGATTAAGGAAAGACGGATGGACAAAAAGACAGACGGATGACAGTGGGAATTTATAGGTGTATAATTTTTTTTCAAATTGCAGTCCAATAATGTCTCAGTAATATCATATACAGACTGAGAGCAAATGTAGCTGAAGAGGCTACAGTGTATACAAACTAGAAACTATTTTGTTATGAATATTAGTGTTTTCTTTTTTGTTTTTTTTCTTTTAATGGCCAATCTACTGTTAATTAATGATAAAGAATAAAAAAACAGTAAAGAATGAGGATTATTATAAATTGGTCATTCACTTTTTAAATTATATTTATTTTAATATGTATTAGAAGTTCATTTTACATTATCTATTTTAAGTAATTTTTATTTTTTGTAATGATGATCCAGAATATATGCTTTAATTAAACTAGTTTGTGTAAATTCTAATACCAAACTTATTTGATATTTTTGACTGATGATGGTGTATTACATTGATATGTTTTAATGATTAAAGGACTTGGGTTTAAATAGAACACACGAGTTGTGATTATTTTATATTACAGATAGCTAAAATGTTAATATAATTATTAGTTGTATCTTATGGCTATAATTTTCTGCAACTGGTGCAATCTTATTTGATTTGTATTATTGTACTTTTATATTAACATTGAGATATGAGTGTAAATTTTATACCTGTATTTGTATACTCTTTAATTTGTGCATTATAGTTTTGCAGTCTCAATAGACTTCTGTTTGAATCCATTTAACTTTTTCATTTTTTATAATAGTTATTGCTTACACTAAACATCATTAGTAATTTTTTAAACAAAAATTACTATTAAATATCTAAGTAAAATAATTAATTTCACTGGTTAAATTTTATGCAAACATAAGTAACTCATTTATATGTATTTTAATAAGCTTTTACATTATAATACTGGCTTTTTCTTATGATATTTACTTTTTTTTTTATAAAAGCATGCTCTTATTAATTAACCTATTTATATTTTCAAAATTGCATGATAATATAGCTCAAATATGTAATATCTTATTTTATTGCAGCACAAATTCATTTATGATAGTCATCAGTTTATATATTCTTGGTTATTTGCCAAAATGATTAATTTCTTCTTCAAGGTATTTATATTTTATATTCTTAAAATAATTTTTTTATAATTTATAGTTAATAAAAACAATATCTGTAAATAGAATTATGTTGCAGTGTAATTATAACAAACAATTTATTGGCATTTTTGTCAAAATTGTTTTTTTTTTGTTTTTTGTATATGTGTTTTTTTGTTTTTGTCATTTTCTTCTATTCTGTAATATTATCTGCATTATCTTTTGTAGCTTTATATTGTATTTGTACATACTGTCAAACTACAACATATAATATCTTTACTGGAAGATCTTAGTCATTGTCCTTCAAATAAGGAAGAACTTTTTTTATCTTGGAAATACAGTAGACTCCCTATAATACAGAGATACATTCCGTTTTATATGAATTCGTGTTTTACGATCACTTAAATACATGAGCCAATCACAGCCCAGCACATGAGAAAATCNTTGTATTTTATTTCATCATATTTGTGTGTTCTTATCTTTATTCATTCATGCTCAAACTATAAATGAAACAGATTTTCTTCAAGACTGTTGTTTAATTTTCACTTACGTTTGACAACTTACTAAATTTTAGAGAGAGAGAGATTTAATAAGGACAGTTATATATTTGTTCAATATTTTTCAAAAGTTGAAAAATATTTTAATTGTTTGTGCTGTTTTTTATTGTCTTTATTTTTTATTATAATGTTGTATGGCTATATTAGTTATGTATTTATTATAAAAATAATTATTGTTTTTGTGAAAATGTTGTTGATGTATATTTATTTTATAAATAATGTTATAAATTTTTTAAATTCCTTCCTCCTGTGGGCATTAATGGAACTTTTTCCTCGTGGTCATTATGGGCTTTATCATGTTCACAGTCTGCCAAAAGGAAGGGACATGTGTGGGACAGATTATCCTGAAAAATTGCTGTGGTTGCTGACCAGACTTGAATCTGAGTCCCCAAAGCAATAGGCTGTTGTCTTTTAAGGCTTCAGCCAAATAAATTTTAATAGATTTTCAATTTTATGAAAATGTTTTTGTTTTTATTCTGACATCATGATAAAATTAAAACTATTATTATTGTCAAAAAGCTTAATTTTCTCACAGGAAACATTTTAATACTAAATCTGTGTTTTCATGTTAATAAATAATAACAATTATTATTATTAGTAAAACCACTCATGATTAAATTTTAATATCATCAAATTTAAAATCCATTTTATGTAAAATAGATTAGTATTCGATAATTTATAAAAATAAATTTATAATAGATATGGAATTGAAAAAGTGATATGATATATAGCAGTTAATTTTTTTTATCTTCTTTTTATAGTTAAAACATAAAATAAAAGCTGAGTCACCAGAAATTAGAATTAACTTCACATTGCATTATCTAACATAAGTTTCCTCTTATGTGTCTCACACTAAGAACTCTTAACACTCTTAGTTACTTTGTGGTGTAACAAATTACTATTTTTGTTTTAATAATTATTACAAATATACAATTTACAACATCAGATGCAATAACAGTAAAATCTTTGTGGTATAATATAATATGTTATCTGTAAATTCATTAATACTAAATAAACTGTTGATAATTATGTCATAGTAATATCAACAGTTTATTCAGTATTAATGAAGTCTACAAAAAAAACAGATAGTGTTATATTACATCACAAAGATTTTACTGTTATTATATCATGTGCTGTAAATTGTACAGTTTCAATAATTATTATAATTGTTTGTTTTTCAAAATATAATTTAGATATATATTATGGAAACAAAAAAATTATAATGCCATGTACAATACTTAATCAGTTTAATTGTATTTATAAAAAGTTTTTTATTTTATATTTAACTTTATTACTTAAATGAATTATAAATGAAAATAATAAACAGTTGAGTCCCTTTAACAGAGAATTGGATAAGGTAGTAATTTGCTTGAGTACTTTTCCATTATGTTCTGCTATATTTTATATTAGGATTCCTATTAATTAACAGAGCACCAGATAATAGAGCAGTCCATTTAAATGAGCACAGCATGAATGGAATTTTTTTTTTATTAGTAGTAGTGTGGATAAGAATGCACTTTTCTAAAAGATTTATAAAGGTCTATCTGGGATATATCTTACAGTACATCACTGATCATGGCACATGGTGACAGGGTTCTTTACAGTATTGTATATGTTATGTGGAGATTTGGACAGTTTTCTAATAAACAGCTAGTCAAGAGATTTATTACAGAATCATAATGAACAGGTTTTACTGGACACATTTTGCANCTAATCTTATTAAAATTTAGATGATAATGGATAAGTAAACTAATGTCATTGCACTGTTAAAGCAAAGACGTCATTTGTTTGAATGCTATATTTTTTATCTATGATGCCTCAATGTAAACATTGTCATTATGTCAGTATGTTATTAGGCATGGTGGTATTTTTAACATTTATAAACAATATACTTTATTTGTAGCATAATATAAATATTCATATATAGGTAATAATTAAAAATAATGAAAGGACTTCAAACCATTTTCATACATAGTTAAGAATTTTATTTTGATTATTTAATTAGCTTCATTAAAATTCTTGTAATGAAAAAAGTGTAATAAAGTTTGATATAATTTATATATATCATATTTAAAGTTTATTTAAAGTAAAACATACAATTAATTTTTTAATTACTAAATTTATTAAAATTAAACAACAACCAAAATATAATAATTTTTTTTAACATTATAAAGCCTATAAAACTTGTTCTGCTTCTCATCTAAATATATTTTTCAGTGCTTGATAATATTGTAACTTCAGTTGAAAATAAAGTTACTGCTAATGAAGGTAAAATAATACTACTTTTATAGTTACAATTTAGAAATTCTTAATTAATAATTTAAATTTTGAGTTTTATTTCATAAAACTTTATTAATTTATGAACTACATTTATATGCATATATATATTTTAGTGTTGGAAAATATTGTTAATTTAGTTGAAAATCAAATAACAGCTACTGAAGGTATTTAAATAATTTTATAATGATTTTATTAATAATTATGCTTTAATTTAATAAATATTGCTTTTGTTTTTAAGTGTTAGAAAATATTGTTAATTCAGCTGAAGATCAGATAACAACTGAAGAAGGTAATCTAAGTTAAAATAGTTATAATATAGTTTGTTATTTTCAAATGGAAAATTAAAATGAAAGAAAGTAGCTTAAATGAATTAATATTTCTTTATTTGTGTGCATTCTTAATATTAACATATATTTCTGAATTGCATTTTCATGTGGCTATGTGAAGTAAATGTCATAATTGAATTTCTTAGAACACCAAAAATCATCTCTTAATTTGAAAACCACATTTTTTTAGATCAATGTAATGTAGTAAAAGCATTTTTCTTCTTAGTTGTAAATCCTTAACTAAGATTTACATTCTTCCATTTTCCTAATAATTTATTTTGTTTTAATTTATTAAAATTCATCAATATATTATTTCATATTTGTTCTTTTTTTAAAGTTATACATTTAATGTTAATTCTGGGATTAGGTATATTATGAATAGATTTTATATTTTCTTCTTTGTTGTTTGGCATTTTATTAACAAATGCTAGAAAGTCTAATAGTTCTTTGTTATTCTTATCTATCATAATATTTGTAAAATCGTAAATTATTAATTTATTATTATTAATAACATTGTTCATAGCATCAAGTCTAAATTGCATTTGTTCTTTGTAAGTACCCAGTTTAGTCGACTCTAATTCAATTTTTTTGTATTTTTCATTCACTAATTGTAGTTGTTTTTTAATTCTATAATTTTGGTGTGAATATTTAATTTCATCATGAATAAGTGTAAATTGGTTATCTGTCTTTTGATTGCTAGCAGTAATAAGTTCAACTGTCTTTAGCCATAACTCTGCAGTTGAGATGTCAGATGTCTCTGGATTAGTTGACTCGGTTAAACTATTAGATTTAAAATTCTCACCTGATGTATTTGGAGAAACTGTTCTTCTTGTTTCTGTATAGTCAGTTATAAGATTTGTTTCGGATCCAGATGATTTTGCATAGTTAGATAGTTGATTTGAACGATTTGTAGGTGGTCTTCCTCTTTTTGTAGGTGTTTTCTGCAGAGGTCCAGGGTTAGATTCTATGCCAGACATTAGCAATAGTAGCAAAATCAGTTTATAATTAATTATTATAGTGAACAAATAAAAATATTTTATGGAAATTAACAAGAAAAAAATGCCTTTGATGAAGCAGAGAGAAAAAGTCACCAACAGACTTGACGATCGAAGAACCCCCCCTAGAACACCAAAAATATGGAGTTGTTATTCTCTTGTTTAGAAGAATAATTTAATTTACTTTCATTTTTTTTTATAGATTAAGTTGCTCACAAAATATATTATTATATCTTAAATTCTGGGTGAGTCAATTGTTTTCAGTTACAGTTCAATATTAAATGAAAGCTGTATAAATTTAAACTGTAAGACCTTGACTGGACAATGTGAATGGAAGGGACATAAATGTGAATGTATGAGCTTGGGTTGAAGGATGACTCGTTTTTGCATAATGAAACCATTTATTGAGTTTGAGATGTTCTCATTGGGTACAATATTCGATTAGAAACACAATTTTTACAATAGTTCTGGCATCCAGTTCAACAGGAAATTAGTCATCCACCTGGAAAAGCTCAGAATATAGCAATTTGCAGTAAAGTTTGTCAGATGACTCACAAATAATCTGTCAAGAAGGGACATACAACTCATTTTGAAGAAAGTGTGGTGAAGATGGAAATGTTGATGATAATGGCAAAATCTTGAAATATCCAAAGAAACACACAACAGAGAAAACTAAATTGGCCTACAAAGGAGCATTTGATAGAACTCTTTAATTTAAATGAAAAGACACCCCTTGTCCTTGAGACGTGGACTGTCTTTTTGTTTAAATGATCTAAGAAAATCTAAACAATCCCGTGCCCTTGAGACATGATTTTATAGATTTGGTCCCATGTCTAACATTACAGTTGGTCTTGAATAAGCTTCATGACTCAATTGGCCTTGCATCTGTTTCTAAGTGAAATTAGAGACTATCTCAGTCATGCAAAATCATCAATGTTGATAATTTGACAATGCTAAATTCAATTCCAGTCATAGATGTTTGTTGATCTGGGATCTTCATTATTTTGGATCAGACAATGCAAACCTCTTCCTGACAGTTATTATTTCAAAGTTCAAAGTTACTCATAATTTCTGGATTGTAAACAAATTAAAAATATTATTAGAAATGTTACATGTTATGGTTATCATCATGATTTAATAGAGTATATAACATTTATTTTGAAAATTCAATATATTGATAGTTTCATTCTTTAAATAGCAGTTAATAATTATATTCTAATTCTTTTGAAGACAAAGTCCTTTCCAAAAAAATAGGAACCACCATTTATTAACTTTGTGTTCCAGACATTATAAACATTTTTTAAAAAAGTGTAATGTCTGGAATACAAAGTTAATAAATGGTGGTTCCTATTTTTTTGGAAAGGACTTTGTCTTCAAAAGAATTAATCATAATTATCTCCATCGGACAAAAATTTACAAAAAAAAATTGTTCTAATTATCAAATTATAAACAATTTTAAAAAAATCTTTTCACTAGCCTGCTATAAGCTAATAAGAATCTAATGTATAAAAATCTAACAAGATCTTTAGAATAGTTCTTACCAGGATTCAGTTTTAGTTATCACTTGCATGAAGTGTATGTTGTGTATGAAAAACTTTTTTCATTGGCAACTGATTTTTACTGATGTAATTTACATCAAATGACATATAACCAATTACATTGTAACATCTGAATTTTTAAGTGGAATTCCAAATAGTTTTTGCTGGTTTTGTTTTTTGAAATTTTGCTATTTAATACAACTGAAAAGGTTTGCAATTTCAAAGTACTGCTGGAAGGTTGTGTGTATTTCTGATCATGGCACATGGTGACAGGGTTCTTTACAGTATTGTATATGTTATGTGGAGATTTGGACAGTTTTCTAATAAACAGCTAGTCAAGAGATTTATTACAGAATCATAATGAACAGGTTTTACTGGATACATTTTGCAATATATGAGAAGCAATTACACTTTAAAAAGATAGATATTATAAAATATATTTGAACAAGCAGCTTAGATCACATGTATGTCTACATCTTGAATGGACAAGGCAAGAAGTGATTAGTGATCAGAGTTTGAAGGTCACATGATCTTACTTTAAGCCAGTA